TATTGGCTTATGCATGTAGATCAGTGCCAAAATTTTGATTTATATATAAAATAGACAAAATTTAAACTGTTATAACACTGTTAAAAATAAAAATAAAAAAAATTCTCTTTCAAAAATATAGTTTAGGTTACAAACTATCAATTTGAAAAAGGATTTTTTTGATTTAATAATTTTTTGTGAAGTTATAATATTTTTAAACCAACTAATTAAATGTGGATATCTTTAACTGTCCTGTATTATACAAACATGCAATTCTAATACAAACTCTAATACGAATCCTAATCCTATTCTAAAATCTATACTAACTCTTATTAACTCTTACTATGATGCAACAATATTATTAACAGCTTAAAGCCAAGGTAAAATCACAAGCACCAACAACAAAAAAAGCTATAGCGAATCTATAAGTACCAATAATATCTTCACTTTCTTGGTTTTTGCCATTGATTTGATATCATTTAGTATTGTTAGAGTTTATAATTTTGCTATGGTTTTTAGTATATAATGTATATCAGAAAAACAACAGCATCATTAAATTGAAACTACCAACAGATAATATAAATACAAATAGCAGCAAACATAATATAAAATATTAATACCTATAGAAGAAAAAAAAAATTGATAGAATTCACCATATACAACTAAAAAAATATATAAGACCATCACTAAAGAAACATATAAAACCACTACTGAAGAAATATGCAAGACAACTATTGAAGAAACATGTAAAACCACTATCAAAAAAATGTTAAGACCATCACCAAAGAAATATGCAAGACCATTATTAAAGAAATGTGCAAGACCACCATTAAAGAAAAATGCAAGACCACTACTAAAGAACATCTATCAGAAAAATGTGTGAAACCATATACTAAGAAGAAATCTAACAGTGACACTAATAATAACACTTGTGACAATACTAACTAGAATATAAAAGACTACTACTAAAAAACTTGTAAGACTACTACCAAGAAGAAAATCTAATGCCAGCATCAATAATGATACCTGTGATAATATCAACTATGATGTGCAAGACTACTACCAAAGAAACTTGCAAGATTATCACCAAGAAGAAAATCTAATGGTAGCATCAATAACAACATCTGCAATAATACTTAAAGCAATACCTGCTATTATCAAGAAATTTTTTGAGGAGATATATATCGATTATAATCGAATTAATCGATTAGTATTGATTAATTTTAATCGATTACAATTGATAAAAAGGTTATTAATCGATTAGAAACACTATCAATTATATTTGATTATAGATATATATCGATTAATACCGATATAAATCATTAATCGATTAATATTGATTATTAAAAAATTCGTAAATTATAATCAAACTTTGACAACGATTTTCTCGATAACTAGTGATTAGAATTAGCTAAAGTTTTTA